TGGAGGACATGAATCCTTGAAGCACCAGGAACAACTTGATTCTGAGAGGTAATATGGAGAAATCACTGAGGAAGTTAGTGGAGTCAAGCTCTGTAATACAGCAATTGCATCCAGAAAGCTTGGGTTCAGCTGGGGTGTTAGATTATTTCCAGCAGGTGGAGTTGGTGCCAGAAGGATGCTGGAATGGCAGGATGCTGGAATGGCAATGTGCTGGAGTGCCTGACAGTATGCAGTATGCTTTGGGTATGGGTGAAAACAGTGTCGTCTTTATGCCAAATCTTAGAGATCTGTGTATGCCAATGTTCTGACATCCCCAAAAATGTGGGGATTCCTTTGGTTTTAAACAGTTCAGCCAGTTGCCAGCAGAAGTGCTAAAGTACGGGCTTTATTCCTACTCCCCCTGCCTCCTTTCTTTACTATAGGAATTACAGTAATGGAGAGAGTTGTCCTGTAGAATTCAGAAATCTCCTCCAATACTTTTGACCCCGTAATGACATAGAGGAGATACTGTCGCTGGTATGGACTTCTGGACTTCCAGAGGTTGCAGCAAAAGAAACCCACTCTCTTGTAAATTTTACAGATGTTCATGTAACTTTCTACTGATGTTGTTAAGTTTCCATAAGTAATATCTCTATTAATGTTTTTAGGGAGTTCAGCCATACTCTATTACTTTCTTGAGTAAACATCAGGTATCCTCTGCCCCAGATTTGACGCTGTGTTGGAATAATGCTGCAACTGGAGACAATCTCAAATACTTGGGCAGAGCAGAGAGCAATGGCTTGTTCTCTAGCACCACTTGCATGCATGGACTGTGCTAGTGGGGAAAAGGTAAGTGTGCAGCCCTCTGCAGCTGCTGTCAACAGGATGGGTGACTCTATTAAGAGATCTGTACTGAGCAGCAAATGCATGTGAAGTAGCAGGTGGTTGTCTGAGCCAAGTTAAGAAAGATGTGCCTAGGCACATTAAATCCAGCTCCAATAATCTTCATCAGTGAGGACAGCAGATTTATGTTCCTATGAACAGGCTGTGTCTGAAATAGCGGACACGGCTCCCAGAAGGGATTTTCACAGGCTTTGGCAGGCAGCCTCCGGAGGGATTTTCACTGGGTGGGTGTTCCCAGAACAGATCGTGCACATTATTTTAAGGGAAAGTTAAGATGGGAAAATGTTTCCTCTCCCCTTGAACATTTGGCCAAGTCTGAAACGTTGTTGGGTTCCTTCTCTGCTGACCTGGCAGCAAGGTGCCTGACACGTGCACATGAGGCTGGGAAAAGTTCTCACCATCTAATGCTGGCCATCCTTATTAGGTCTCTGGGGAATGTGCTGTGTCTGCCCAGTGAACAGAGAGGAAGCAATCTGGCAGCAGCACCAAGCACAGAAGCAGCAGAAAGGGAGGGCACCTGCCCAGAGTCCCCAGTCTCTCTCCTCTGCCCTAAACACATGGGGAAACTTTCTCTGCCAGCAGCTGCTTCCCATGGTGCTCTCCCTAGTTGCAAACCATTCATTATGCTGACTACTGAGGAAGCAGCTCCTAGTCTGTTTCACAAAATGTCTTCCCCACCAGCCCCCATGCCCCTACTGTACCTGCATCCTTTCAGGCCAGCCTGGGCTCTGCATCTTTACTGTGCAAAATTGGATCTTGCCCTGGCAAATTAATGTGACTGCTCTGGCAGGTGATTTTTCAGGATCAGTTCTGATAACACCAGGTAGGTGTGGCACTGCAGATTCTGCTTCAGTACTGGAAACAGTAGTGTTGGGAATTAGTATTGGGAATTACAGTGTTGTTTTGTTGTTTGTTTTTTTTTCTCTAGGGTGTAGGGAAACTTCTGAAAAAACCCTTTTAGCCTAAACCTGGTGGCTGCTTAATCCACACTTTCTTGTCTGTGTAGTAAGTATAAACAATCCCTAAACCTAAACCAAGTGGTCCCCACAGCTGCTGGTGCACCAACAGGTGCAATGGCTGGCATGTGGCCCCTGTGTCTATAGGTCCAAGCAGTGCAGGTGCCTCCCACTGCAGCACAGCCCTGAGGCACAGCATGCAGGAAAGATGCAGGATGGTACAATGCTCCATTTTGTTACTTCAGGAGTTTCAGGAAACCTTATTTGTTTCAGGAAAAAGTAGAAAAGTTTTTTGTTCGGTTTCTATAATGACTCTTGCTGTGCTATCTGCTGCTTTGTATTCTTGAACCTGGCAGGTGCCACGTGGCTGATCAACAACACAGGTGCTTGCTTTCTCAGTAACAGTAATGACCTGTAGCTACACGCCGGTGGTCCTGAGGCCTGTGTCCTAGAGTAGCACTGCAGGATTCCCTTGCGTCTTGGGAAAGATGGATAGATTTTTCCTTGCTACATGATCCATACCTGTGTCATTTTACTCACCTGTACTGTGAGGGTATGGCACATCTATTGATCCTTAAACATATAGTGGGCCTCAGCACCCTGCTGATATAAACATGCTTGAGTCCCTTGGCAGTCAAGAAAGCTGGTTTACACTGCCGGGCAAAAAGGTGAGTAGCTTTTAAGACACTGCTAGCCACGGGCTTTTTACCTTCTTGGTTATCAGTGGGAGTGAGAAGCCTTGTCCCACTCTTGTGCTCATTTTACCTAAACTCAGGGCCACTGGTTGTGGTAGGACTCCTCCCAATTTCTAAGTGTGTGTGAGCAGACGTGGGGGCTTCTGTTCTGCCCTGCATCACTCAGTGACATTTGTCCCTTACTTTCACCCATTTAAATCCTACTCAGAAACTGGGAAAGCAATGGCAGACCATTGCACTGTACTGCCCATGGGTGTGGTTTCTTCTGCAGTTTTATGTGCTTTTCATTTCAGGACATAACTAACTGTTGATGTGTGATTAATTGTGCACGTACTTGCTGCTTGGAGTATACCTCTGGATAATCAGATGTTAGTTTTCTGAGGACTGACTGAAAGTCTCTCATAACAGTGGCTTTCCTGTTTAATAGTAGAATACTACTTTCCTGTAAATACTAGAATGCCTCTGTACTCCTACAGAAATGATACTCAAGTTTTGAATTAGTTTAGTTTTTAACAGTTGTCTACATACGTAGCATTCTCTTCGGCAATTTTAATCTAGTATTTGTTGACTTGAGTCTCCTAATAACTGTGTGGCCTAAGGGAAGTCCCTAGGCAGTGATAATGGAGAAAATTGGCCTTGTGTTCTATTATCTGTACTAGAAAACTCTCTTCTTGAAGGTATTCATGCCAGGTATTTGTATTAAAAATCGTAAACTGGGCTTGGCAAATACATGGTTTGGGTTCTTTAAATCTGCATTTTGGCTTCTGAACATATTGCTTAAGGAGGTTGTGCATTCTCCAAATTTGGAGGCTTTCAAGCCCCAGCTAGACAAAGCTGACCTGTTCTACTGTTGGAAATGATCCTCCTTCAAGTGAGAGATTAGACAAAAGCTGTCCGGGGGCCCCTTCCAACAGACATTTCTGTTATTCTGAATTATATTTATGAGCTTTTTCCACAGTCATGAAAACTTAAAATTAACTTTTACAATTACACTAAGTCATGAAAGCATAAGGGAAACCTTCTAATGTTGAGACTTGAAATAATAAGCCTGGCAGTGCGGAAGGATAGTGATACATGAGATTCACTTCATCACAAACTTGAACAGTCTCAGCTAGCTTCCAATTTGATCTTACGAGCTGGCTAAAAAAAGACGCTTTGGGACCTTATTTTAGGAACACTGGACTTGACAAAGTGTCTTTCTTGAACATATCTGTTACAATAATAAAGATCTGTCTCGGCTGCATACAACCCCCTTAGGACTCTGTCCAGTGGGGATTCGGCAAGAATTCCCTGAATAATATGGAGCTCCTATGAATACAAACACCTTCCTCTTTATAGAAGTATGTGGGAAAGCAAGGCACCCAGCTATATAATGTGCTGCGGAATCACCAGCATAACAATTCTGATCAAAGCTGATACCTCCCATCTGTTTCTATATGCAGTCTGTTCAGCATAAATCATAAACAGATGGTGTCATGGTGTCAGTCTCACAAGTCACGCTGCAGTCACTGGGTGTTAGCTAGGGCTCAGTCGATGCCTAACTGTGCCACTTTACCCTTAATTGTTGAGTGTGTTTTATCCATAGAAATAACCTTTTATCCATCCAAAGCCAACTGCTTGCTGGTTTCTATAGCGTGGGTGGCCAGAGAACAGGTTTTTCCACCAGCCAAGCTGTTTATCTTCCAAAGCTGCCTGGCTGCAGTACCATTGTCAACAAGTTTTGCAGCGGATCAGGGGCTGGTAATGCATACTGACTCCCTCCAACCCATTTCCCATCTCTTTGCCACCCACATAGTTAGCCTCATTCTCAGAGGAACACATGCTTTCACTCTCTCATCCTACTAATTTGTTAGCTGGGGTAGCTAGCCATCTTGCTTACTCCACTTGATCTCTCAAGCTAGGCAGAGTATTGGAAGAATAGCCTACCTTCACATAAAAAGCCTCCCATCAGTCAAGGATTTTGAAGGATTGGATAATGGTGATGTAGGGCTTAACCCTTCTTATTTGTGACTACTGTTGAACATCTGGCACTTTAATAGGAGTTGTTTCTGGCTCAAAATCCAATCAGCTAAATTCTTCCTCTCTAATTTCTCCCTGAAGTTGCAGCTGAGTATATTCAACTGCATTTGAATGACTGAAATTAATTTTTCTGCTTTCTGGTTTCCTCTTTGGCCATATCAAGGATGGAGTCTGGAATTCATCTCTATTGCTCTGATTTAGAGCCCAATCAGCAAAGCTGGAGCAAACTCCAAAGTTTCTCAATTCTCTTTATTATGGTTGAGTCTAGAGTCTTGGCTTTGTCCTGTTTCGAGAGAGGTTGCTACTTCAAAGCTTGGATGTAAGTCTGGAGTGTATGAGCTGGAATGGCTGGCAATTATTTGTGCCTCAGTTTAACTAATACCTCTATCAGACTACGGGGAAGTCACAACAAAGTAGCTGCAACTCTGTCATGTGCCATTCGCTACCGATGGCTCTGTCTCAGAGCCCATGGCATGGGATGGACTTTGTCCAAAGAGGAATGAGTCTTAGTTTGCAAAGACAAAGCTCCAGAAAATTAATTCAGCAGCAGCTTCAGCTCTTCTTGGGTTTCTCCAAAGCCTATGTGAAAACCACCCTGCAACTGTCAACAACACCTGAATGTCTTGCAAGTCAGAATAGCCAAAGTTCTGCTGCTGTCTTCTCATTTTGACTTGCATGTCTGTGTTCAGAAGTGAGGCACCGCATCGGTGATTTATTTCAAATGAAGCAACAGCAGACAAAGCTCCAAAGCAATTTTCAGCCTGAGTAATCACTGCAAATTTGCTCCAAATGTTGAACAGATGGAATCTGTATATGACTTCTCTGAGTATAAACACAAGCACCCTGTCATATTTCAATTGCTGATGTAACAACACAATGTGGCTTTTTCTAAAGGGAAAGTACATGAATTTGGGGGTCTGATTATTTGTTTTCTCAGTGCAGTAAAAGATCTGGTGTATTCACTTGCAAATAACACATGACAATTGCCAATTGGTTCCACTCCATTCAAATATTTTCTCAGCAAAGCGGTAGTATAAGTCCTCTGCAAAAGTTGTATCCTTGATATCAAACCCAATATGTATTTAGTTTGGCTTTGCTTTTGCCACATTTGGTCATTTCTGATATGCAAACTGGCATGAAAACAAGTGGAAGTAGAGGGGGTCTTTTCTTGAGTCCTAGCCTCTTCCCTGTTTGAAGAGGAAGGAGACCTGGTAGTTCCCAAACACAGCCCTTCTGCAGTTCCCTCATTTCTTCTCTGGCTTTAGGAAAGTCTGTTACTAATTCATGCCTGGTTCTGTGAACTGAGAATAAGTGGTTATTTTCCTTCCATAAAATATTTTGAGAGCTGTTGATGAAAAATACATGTTACTATTACTGTTATGGCTTAAGATGGGGATTTTAAAGGGGGAGAGTGAGATTTTCTTCTACCTCTGTTGCTGCTGTTTGTGGCCCTGCATAAACACTGTTGTGGCAAATAAGGAATAGGGGTAAGACTTCCCCTTTCTTATCAAAGGAATGCCTGGAGATCCTGCAGACTTCTGGTAAGTTGTCTGGGGCAGGTTGTCCTGACCATTCATGGGTGTTTCCCAGAAGGGGCCTGTGCCCTTTCCCCCAACACCTCTATAGGTGACTGGGATCACAGTTTCTCTGTGAATGTGTGGGAAACTTTGTTGCTGTTCCTTCCCTTCATGTCTGACTTTAACCTCTCTGTATTGTCCTTCTACTCTAAAGAATGAGCTATGGTATTCCTCCTACCTTCTTCTTCTCTACTGCAGTGGGTCTCCTAGTGCCATTTTCACTACCTGAGTGCCTGAGATCACTACCCCTTTTCCTCTTCCCTCTCTGCTAGCTCCAAACCTGTGAGTGATTGGAGGCATCCCAATACCACCCCTCTTGCTGTATCACCAGTGCATCAGGACTCTTTCTTCAGAAAATTTGCCCTGCTGCAGGCAAGTCCCCTGAGCTTTTCCTGACACCTTTTCACAATTGCATAAATTCATAACATCCAAAACATATCCTGAATGGAAGAGGGGCCAAGCAGCCAGATGATTGCTGTAGCACTTTTCAGCATCTGCTAGAGCCTCATTAGTATTTTAGCTTTCAGACGTAGTTGCAGGATAGATTTGCAGCTTCATTTGCTTCCAGCAAAAGCTGCTTTAGGCTTACACATGTGAGGCCAAGTACCCCGAGGGAGGATTTAACATGGCAGGCCTATGTGTTAGTGTTTTACATAATGTTTAATAAAAAAAAAAACAGCTGTCATTTTCTCTTAGTCAGTTGACAAGATCTTTAGCAGTTTCCAATACTTATGGCACATTGCTTGCCTGCTGGAGATGCTAAAGGTGTCAAAACCTCACACACAGAATGATGTTTGGGAATGTGCGATATTCTGAACAGTGTGCAGGAATTTCCAGCTTCCGCTCTTTCTTTTTAGATCTCACTAATATCATCTGTATAAATACACAGACATGCAAATTTTCACACCTCAAACTTCCTTTTACTTCTCTGTTAGCCTCCTCCTCTCCGTTTCAATAGATGTCTTCAAACGCTTTGCTGTCGGCAGGTTCTCATCACCAGCCTCCACTATGGAGTCGGTTATAGCTGCCTGAGTTGTTTTTTTTTACTTCTTTCCATCTTTTCTCCTCCACTAGAAAAAGAGAGAAAGGAAAAAAGGGTTAGAGCAGTGTTCCCAATACAAACCTCCTCAGGGACCTCTCCTCTTGTGCCTGTGAAATCAGTCACTTGAATTTCTCAGCTCTGCCATGGCTGTCACAAAGTGCAGAAGTTGGTTGGTGAGCTTCTTACAGCATGATTTGCTGACTGCTGCCTTGTTTGTGAGCTCTGGCTCATCTAATGATAGGGGCTTGCTATCTCCCCTTTGAAATCTATCAATCATACTGTAGAGCTGTCAAAATATTTATCAATAATGTTGGTAACTGAGAAGGTTGTAGTCTAGGGGCTAAAAAGCAATTTGCAGTTTTGGTTTTTCACCTCTGCTATTCCAAGCCTGTCCTCTGTGTGTGTCCCCTCTGACATGTGAGCAATTACTTTCAAACATACAGATTCAGTCAGATTTTTGTTGCTCTGAATTATTTTTCACTGTTTTTCAGTGATGGGTGGTGCAGTTACAAGTCACAGGATAGTCTTCTGATTCTCACATGATCATTTAAAGGAAATTTACTTTAGTGCCCCAAAGCCTCTGCTAGTCCCTGCTTGCTATGTATCTTTTTCAGGTATGTTCTGAGTGGCTGCACAAACCTTTTCAGGGCACATCATCACAGAGCTTCAACATCCTTTAACTAAAACCTCATCACCCTAAATGTGCTTTGATCTTTGCTGGCTTGTTTCCATTTGACATTCTGCCACTGGGAACTGATGAGATTCATCCCACTTGTTTCTATTGCGTGGATTTACTAACATTTTGCTATCTGATGCAGCACCTTCCCAGTACTAAGCTAGGTAATTCTTCTGGTAGTGCTTGGTATTAGAATTAAATGAAAGCACATTTAAAGACATAGTTCTCTCCTGAGTAACAGAAAATTAATGTCTTGGTTTTTGCTCTATTCCCTCCTTGATAGAGAAAATCACAACTGAGGGGAAAAGAAAAAAAATTTGGAAAATCAGGATGATAAAATCTTGTTGAAAAAATGATTATTAATATGTTCAAGGCTAGGCTTTGTCTTGGACCTTGCATAAGGAATTCTGTGGGGGAAGGTGATACCAAGTGTTACTGCTCCGATGCTATGCTCTAGAGCTTTATCCTTCCTCAGTGTTGCTGTCGGGGTGTAGTCTCCAATGCTGTAGATCTAACTCGTACTGCTTGCAACAAGAACAGGCTTTACCCCTGCATGTCTCTTACCCTGCTCCTGAGGAAGGGGTCTTGGCTTTGTAGGATTGATCCAGTTTGATTTTTCAAGACCCATGGCATGAGCAAATACTTTTCACTAATGCCACTGAGAAAGCATTCACTTTTAGTTTGGTATTAGATGGTAGATGCTTTACTGAGGAAAGAGTAAGGAGGGGCATGCCCATGGGGACCTGACCTCAGTCAGGATGTGATACTGCAGATACTACTAAAAGAGATTGACCACTTGAAAGATCATGAGATTTGTGTAATGTTTCATTAAGTTACCCACTTGTTCATCCACGGAAACATTGTTAAAAGGGACATGTATTCTATTACATTGCTCTTCCAAATTCAGGTAGTTTTCCAAACTATTTAAGATGCTCTATGTGTGTTTTGTCATCTTAAAAATATTTAGCCCTGTTGGCACTTTTAAAGTTTTTGCATATTTTAAACTGCTGGAGATCTTTAAATCCTTCCTATTTCAGCTAGCTTTTGCTGTTTGAATCCTTGAAAAAAAACTTGTAGTTCCCTGTACTTACACTTTTGAGAAACGAAGCTGTGCCAGAATGCCTTCACAGATCCTGAAAATGGTAATTCCAGAAATGGCAGTTACATGTATGCACCAGGAACCTGGGGAGCTGCAATGTTTCTGGATGCAATTAGGTAACATAGCTTAGGACAGTTTAGCAGGGTGACTATTGATAACAGAGAAGCACCATGTAACAAATGTGGACCAAAGCAAGTACTTTTCTTCATTTTTAATGCTGTTTTCAGTATTACTTTTGGTCACACATGGCTTCTCAGAGGAAAGCCCCCACTTAAGTCTCTTACTTCAGGTTTATGTGGCAATCTTAGATGTAAAAAGAGACGAGAAAAAGGGGCTACAGTGGGGAGAACAGGACCAGAAGACTGCTGGGGACATGAATGCCAACTAAGACATGGTAAGAATTTCTTTTCCCTCCATGGGAAATGCTACTAGGAAATAAAATTGATAAAATTCAGTAGGTGTTTTTCATTCACAGTGACTGAACTCCAGGGAACTGTCAGTTTTTCACCTTAGCCAAGTTCATCTTTAGTTTGGCTTTCCAAAGAAAAAATACTATTTTTTTTAAGAGCTTTACTCAGGAATTATTTTGCCGCAGCACACTCTGGTTTTCCTTCAGGTCACACAAATCTTTCACATAAATTGCATACTGTCTGTTGAAAAAAAAGTTCTGAAATAAAATTTCTGGCCAGCTTCAGTCTTTGTACCCAGAACTGCAGCTGGTCTGAGGTCTGGAATCAGACTGAACACAGTCATGCTGCAAATGACCTTCCTCCAGCATTTCTGAAGGTTGCTGGTTTGTCACTGAATATTTTTGTCTTGGTAGTTAGTTCCTGGTATGTGGCAGCTTTGTGCGTTACCAAAGCATCCTTCCTGTGCTGTATATAGGTAGCACTGCAAGTGCTGTGTCTCTAAAGGTAAGAAAACAAGCTGCCTAGGAGGATGAAAACCTAAGGCCTGGGCATCAGGCCGAGTTGTACTCGGTAGAGGAACCTAACATGCATAAAGAGCACAGCTTCTGTGATTCCCAGGGTGTTGATGTTCTCCTAGCAAGCATGAAAGTAGCCTCAGTGCTGCTCTGACTTGGCCTGGCTTATGATCGCTCCCAGCAGCACTCTTATGCTGGTTAGATCTCCCCAGAGCCCTTCTCCAAGCACTCTCTCCCTATAGGGCATGTACCCATGGCATTAACAGCACACAATTTATCTTGTCTACTCAACACTACCTGGAGATTTCTCTTTGCAGTGTGTACCTGCTTCCTGGAATAGGTTTACAGCTTCTTTTTGTTCCTGGGTCTGTGCACAGGTACTGTTTTGATAGCCAGGATCTAGACGGTAAGAGAGCCATGAGGTCAGAGTCTTTCTTTAGAGAGGAATTTATATTAATGTTTGTATTTTCACTCAATATATGACTAAGAGTAAAAAGGGCACATTTAGCTTATGGTGTCTAGAAACACAATCCTGCCCTTGTTGAGTTGTGATGTCATGGGTGATGGAGGTCTTGCACTACTGATCTCAAACAAGGATATTTTTCTGCAGCTAATCTTTGAATAGATAAGCAGATTCTTTAACAGGCACCCTGAAGACATTTCCATATATTCTGAAACAAACTGAGTAACTTGATATTTTTCCTAACAAATTATTATTATGGTTATTAAAGGAGGTTTTTTATTATTCTTCCCTCATTATCTTGTTGTAAATCATTTCTTTATTCCATCACAAATCTGTTGAGAGCATTTGGAGAAAAAGAAACACCTAAAAAGTCATTGCACCCAAAACGCTGCTCTGCCTCACTGGTGGTTCTCACAGCTGGTTGCTGCTTGGCGTCCCACTTCAGTGGAGACGGCATCTGAAAAGGTTTCTGTTGTTTCCCAGAAGCCTTTTTGTAAGAACAGTATCAAAAAGAAGATGACAGGGAACATCCATATATATTATTCACTGTTAATACCAATACCCTCTTTTGGTCTTTTTATAAGTGACACCAGGTGAAGAAATCTGTGACAACCTGAAGCAGAGCAACCTACTTAGCTCTGCTTTGAGGTGGGCCTCTTCTTCAGTACAGGATGGCTAGAAACTTTTATGCCAATGTTACTCAGTAACTTATTTATTTATTTATGTATTTATTTTCTCACAAGGTCAGCACTGGGTTTTGTAAATGTCTTCCTTGTCTGCAATTCCTAATAGTTTTTCAATATATGGAAAATGGGATTGTGTAGGAAACTTTCACATGCTTTTCTTTGATTGCCTTTTACATTTTGCTGGAAAAAAAATCTAATCTGTTTCTTTATTTTTTTAAAATAGCCTCTCTGCTGCCAGTTCCCTTTGTAGGGCCATATACACTGGCACGTTTGTGTTCAGCATGCTGCTGGCTCTGCATCATTCAGCTACCACCCTTCTTAGAAAAACAACCTGAGAAGGTAATTTCAATTGCAAAATCAACACTTCACTTCTAGGTTCATCCTTTTCCACTGCAGATAACTAACTTAATTGAGGTTTTAGGTGGATCTTACAAACTTCTTTCATTTCTTTCCATTAGCAGTAGAAGCCGGGGGTGACTACACTTGGAACTTGTTTGATTCAAGTTGTAACTTGTTTGACTCAAGTTAACATGCTTGAAGTGTGGTGGGATGAATCCAGGTTACTGCCTCATGCCCTTTGTGCATCTGTAGTTTATAACAGCATCACAGAGACAGGGCCCAGACTCATGTGCCCTTGCTATTCACAGTAGGGTTTGCAGTAGTATTTCCTGTGTGCTCTTTGAGTCCCCTCTGAAAGCAGAACTGGTGCTTTCTGGACAGGCTCTGCGGACTGTAGTGAACTGATTGCCCCATCCCTGATTTGCTATTATCAACTTTTTGCTAGTAGGAAATTGAGGAAGGGAGAATGTAAGGGCAAAAATATCCATGAGATTTGGGCTCTTGGAGTAGCAAGGTTATCTGCACTTCTAGGGCTAGTCTCTCTCTTGCTGAGACACAGCTCTTTTTTCTGGGTTTGGGTATAAGACTGCGTGCATATAGCTAAACAAAACAACATCCAGTAGTGAGCTTAAGCACTGGACAATAATTGACCATAACAGTTGGCAGGTTACTCCCTGCTGTGGCTAGGCTATGCCAGTTGGCAGTCTGTGTGGCTAAGGGAAGATGTTGCTCCAGAGACCAGCCCCCACAGGCAGGATGGAAGACACTGTGCAGTGTCTGACTCCCTCCTCAGTCCCTTGACACACTCCAGCAAGCCTTGCTTCCTCAGACACTCCTGTA